TCTCAGCAGAGAAAAGTGAAATGTATCCTGCTCAGATTGCAGCATTTCAGTTTGTATCAAATATCTGCTTGAAGGGTTACTATGAATATTATGATTTTTTTTACATGTAGTCAGCCACTCAGTAGAAGAAAACACTTGGGATTTTATAGCTTTTTGACTGCAGTTTTACATACACATTTGAGAATAAATCTCACTGAATTTAAAGGGACTTCTGAGAACAGATGGCTTGTACTCAATCTTGTCATTCTTTTGTTCTTCTGGAAAGTAAATTACTTGACAAACAGTTTTATCTATATACCACTAACATTCTCAGTCACGGAGGAAACGCCTGTCACGAAAGGGTTACAACCCAACCAGTAGCTGTAGGACTGAGTCCACCAACAAAAGAAGTCCCGCCTCTTCCTGTATCCAGTTTTTTTGACTCGGTCCGGTAGAGGACAGTCGTGTCTGTTTAGTTCTCTCTCTTCAACTCCACGTGGGAGAGTCTTTTTGGCCATTGTTTGCTTATTTCGACTTATTCTGCTCATTTCTGCTCAAATTGCTGGCGTTTGCAAGAAAAGCGGCTAAACTTAATTGAAATCAGCTGGGGAGCGCTAGAAACGCTCCGGCGGCCGTGAGCAGCCCCGCGGCAGTGCGCACGTGCGTTTGCACCGCCGCACCTATTTGCAGCAGTTTTCGACGTGTTTGAGGCTTTTGGAGAGGTTTCCCTGCCTCCTGCTGCTGTTGGATCCTTGTGGCTGCAGATTTGTGGCGCGAAGGCTTTTACGCGCCTAATTTTGCCGCGCCTTTAAGCCATTTGGCTAGCGGCCATTTCCAGCCTCCTGTGTAACCATCCTGGCTCCTGGATTACTCTTTGCTTCTCTCCTGGCGCAGTGAGTTACCTGAACCACCAATTATCACCTGTGGGTGGTTTTTTAAGGGTGTTTTCCCTCCTTTGCATTTATTTCTGAGTGTGAACGTAAAATTCCTGCTCCAAAATGGCGGATGCTAGGGGCAATAAATCCCAAAGTAAAGGAAAAAGGGGCCATTCTTCTGATCCTAGGGAAGATTCCTCAGGGGATCCTGTTCCTCCCAAGGCAGCCAGAGTTTCTACTAGATCCACTCACTCCAAGAGTGCTAATTCTGCTGCATCATCGAGGGAAGAGACCAGGAGGCATAAGGCCATGGAAAAGGCCTTTCAAAAAGCTGCTTCAGAGGCCTCTAGAGTTTCATCTCCTGCTGTGGGGCCTTCTAAATCTCCTGCCCTTCCCACTTCCAATGTGGCTGTTCCCTCTTCTCAAATTCAAATTGAACATGATTTTTCTCCTGATCAGTCTACTCTGGGTGAGAATGTGGCTGCTGATGCTTCTTCTGTATTTCCTGCTGCTAGGCCTCTATCTCCAATTGTTTCTATTCAAGCCCCTCCAAGGCAAGAACCTCCTGAGGCTCAAGCTTAATCCAGCATTCAGGGGGCTGAGGCTCCTGTGAGTTTAACTCCTGCCCTAGCTGAACTTATTTCAGTTTCAATTAGGCAGGGTATTGCTGAAGGCCTTCAGCAAAGGGCCTCCTCTGAGGTCTCCAGTTATGTGAGTCAGCAGAGTCGTTCTGTGAGGGCCCAGGCTGTTGCTGATCCTGTGCAATGTGAGGAAAGGGTGGATTTCCAGGAAAATGCAAGTCAAGGTTCCCTGTCTGAGGGGGAAATTGCCCCTTATCAAGATCTCTCAGATGATGAAGGTCTAGAACCAGACCAGCCTTCCTTCATTGGGCTTTTCAAACCTCAGTTATTCAGATCCCTTTTATATAAAGCTCAAAATGTCACTGGCCTGGGAACTTCTTCTGCTTCTTCCTCTCAAGGGGCTTCTACATCTTCTTCTCAGCATCCCTCTTCATCATTATTATTTCAGGAACCTTCCATTCGTGCAGAGGTCGTTCCAGCTCCCAAGCTGTTTTCTGATGTCATTCAAAGACAGTGGTCTTCTCCTAGTTCTGGCCCTGTTCCTAATGGTCTAGATAAAAGATTTTATAATATGGCCTCTGATTTTGCTAACATACTTTAAGTTCCTTCTGTAGATGCTCCTGTTGTGGCCCTCTCTTCTGCATCTCCTCTTACTGGCCCGTCAGAGGAATTCCTGCGCCCTGAAGATAAGAAGTTTGAACGCTCCTTGGTCAAGGACCACCAGGCCTCAGCTTGGTCCATTCAGGCCTCCTCGGCCGCTTCCTTTTTTAACAGGGCTTCCATCCTTTGGCTTTGCCAACTACAGGAAAGGCTGCCTTCTTCTGATGTGCGATCTCACCAGGACATCAACAAGATCCTAGCTGCTGTTGAGTTCTCTGCTGATGCTACTCTGAATGCTGCCAGGTTTTCAGCTAAGGCTATCGGGGCTTCAGTCACTTCTCGACAGCTTCTGTGGCTTCGTCAGTGGCAGGTGGATGTTCGGAACAAGTGGAGGCTGGCATCAGCTCCCTTCTCGGGGAACAATCTCTTTGGCTCAGCCTTGGATCCACTCCTCATCGAGACGAAGGATCATCGCAAGATTCTGCCCTTCTTATCGAGGAGATCTGATCCTCGTCAGCAGAGTTCCTTTCGAAGCCATTCCTTTTGCTCCAACTTCTCTTCCTTCCAGTCCAGGCCTCAGCGGTACTCTCAGCCCAGGGGCGGACAACAGCAGGATTTCCAGGTCAGGCAGGGGTCCCATTTCCCTTCCTGCAGACCCTTCAGGGGGGTTGGGGCTGTTCCTTCCGTAGATTCTGTTAGTTCTCCCTTACCTATCCCTGACTCCTTTATTGGAGGTAGGTTAGCATTCTTTGCTGGCCAATGGGATATTTCAGTTTCAGACCCCTGGATTAGACGTACAATTAGATTTGGTTTGACCCTTGAGTTCTCTTACGTTCCTCCTAGTTTGTTTGTCAGGTGCCCTGTTTCACATGTCAGGACCAAGATGGTTCTGCTAGATGAGGCTATTCAACATCTTTTGGAGATTAGGGCTGTTCAATGTGTTCCCCAAGAGGAAGTTGGTCAGGGATTTTACTCTCGTTTGTTTCTAGTTCCCAAGGCTTCAGGAGGCTGGAGGGCCATATTGGATCTTAAATCCTTGAACAGATATATAGTCTATCGTCGGTTCAAGATGGAATCCCTCCAGACCATTCTCCTTTCTATCCGCCCAGGTGATTTTTTGTCCTCCATCGACTTAACGGAGGCTTATCTCCACATGCACATTTTTCCGGACCATTGGAAATACCTCCGTTTTTGTTATCGGGGTAGGCATTATCAGTATAGGGCCCTTCCCTTTGGCCTTTCCTCAGCTCCTAGGGTCTTTACAAAGATCATGGCTGCCTTATCAGGCTATATGAGATCTTTTCCTGTCAGAGTTTTGTTTTATCTAGATGATATTCTTATTTTGTCTAGTTCTGAGGTTAGGGGTAATGAGGATATTCAGGTCACCCTTCAGACCCTGCAGTCCCATTGTTTTTTGGTTAATCGTTCCAAAAGCAACCTAGTTCCCTCCACATGCATTCAGCACTTAGGGGCTGTTATTGATTCTGTCAGGTTGCAGGTTTCCCTTTCTCAGGAACGTCAGGACAGCATTGTTGAACTGGTAGGTCAGGTCAGGCTTTCCCGCTTGCTAGGGAAAATGGTTTCTGCCTTCGGGATCACTCCTTGGTCTCGGTTTCATAGCCGGGAACTTCAGTGGTTTTTACTTCCGTTTCAACGGTCTTGCAGGAGCACGTCAGAGGCCAGAGTCCCCTTGACTCCAGCAGTTCTCCGGTCCTTGGCATGGTGGACCTCTCCGGCTCTTGCTCAGGGGTGCCTGTTCAGAGTGCCTCAGCGCGTGAGCATCACCACGGATGCGAGCCTCTTCGGATGGGGGGCTCACCTGGGGTCTCAGCTGGCCCAAGGGCAGTGGTCGGTCCAGGAGAGGGGACTTCACATCAACATCTTGGAGCTCAGAGCCATCTTCCGGGCCCTTTGCAAGTTCGCTCCTCTCCTTCGGGGTCTGGATGTCTTGATCAGACAAAGTAGCTGCCAAGGCCCACATCAACCGGCAAGGAGGGACCCGCTCCAAGGCTCTCATGAGGGAAGCATCTCGTCTCTTCAGGTGGGCGGAGAGTCACTTGGCATCCATTCACGCCTCTCACATCTCAGGGTCATCGAATGTACAGGCGGACGCTCTCAGTCGCTCAGTGGTGGACCAGATGGAGTGGAGCCTCGATCCACTTCTGTTCCAGGACATCATGCATCGCTTCGGCCTTCCAGCAGTGGACCTCTTCGCGTCCGAATCCAACCACCAGCTTCCGAGGTTTTACGTGAGGTTTCCTGTCCCGGGAGCCGAAGCTGTGGACGCCTTGATCAGCCCGTGGCCTATGCATGTTTGTGTGTGTGTTTGTATAAATACAGTATCTTGTATATTTTCTTTATGCAGATTTGTTTCTGGACAAAAATATAAATCATATTGTTACTCTTTCTTCACCACTTAAAACAGGGATGGGTAGACCAAGACCCAAAGACTGAATGTGCCCCTCAGTCCATTTTTTTTGTGCCCCTCCCCCCAAGTTCCACTTCATCTACTCATTATTTCATCCCCAATAACTCTTGTTCATAAATGATTCATGGTCACCAAAATTTACCCATTCCTGTTTTAGAAAATTTAATTGCCATGGAAGCTCTGTTGGCTAGATTTTATTTCACAAAGTAGTTTTGTTTTGGAAGCCTCACCAATTTTTGTAGATGCTCATTTTCTTAACTAATCAAAATATAAATAATAAATAAATAAATATGTACATTTTTACCTTTTCTTTTGGCAAACAAAACAAAGGGTTGTAACTGAATTAAAAGAAAAAAAATGTAAATATATAAACATAACTTTTGCTTTTTAACAAGTGTAAAAAATGTATTTTTCTAGGATTGTGATCTAGAATCTTAAGCCAGCAAACTGCATCAGATAAACTGAGTATGGGTTGTAAATCTATTTAATGGACATTTTATTTTCTTTCTCCCTCCCTTCCCTCTCCTCCCACTTTAGAAAGGAACGGCTACTGAGGTGTTCTCAATGCAAAGTTGCAAGATACTGTGATGCACACTGTCAGGTAATTATTTTAAAACATAGATGGACAATGCAATATTCAAACTTTTTAACTAGTGAAATTGTTTTCTAATTACATAGTCCTATTTGAATTGGGGTACTGTCAGGCCCAAAAAACCAAGAATGACATGTAGAATTACTTCTGAGTAATTCCCTTATTGTTGTTCACCAAGGGTGAAATCCAGCAGGTTCTGACCGGTCCTGGAGAATCGGTAGTGGAAATTTTGAGCAGTTTGGAGAACCGGTAGTAGAAATTTTGAGTAGTTCGGACAACCGACAAATACCACCTCTGGCTGGCCCCAGAGTGGGGACGGAATGGGGATTTTGCAGTATCCTTCCATTGCCACACCCACCAAGCCATGCCCACCCAGCCAGACCACGCCCACCAAGCCATGCTCACAGAACCGATAGTAAAAAAATTTGGATTTCACCACTGTTGTTCACCTACAAACAGAATCTTGCCAAACTAAAGTAATTTTCTGCAAAAACCTAGATAGATTTTTGGATTTTTGGATTTTTTAAGCCATAGATATATTCTGTGAATTGCTAGAAATGGTCCAACTTTGCTCTTTCTACTCATTAGACAGTTTTTGCTTTACTGTCCCTTTGTCTTCTTTCCCAGACTTTCCCAGACTCCCAGTTCCCCTGTGACTGTGAGGTACATTCCACTAGAAGTTTCCCAAAATAGACATGGTATTCCACATGGGGTCTGGCCAGGGCAAAGTGGAATAGAAGAACTACTTCTGCAGCCTATATTTTATGTATCTGTTCATACACCCTAAGATAGTATTTGCTTTTGTAGCAGTTGCATTTCACTGTTAGCTTACCACTCAATTCTGAATACATTACTAATGATGACTTACACAACTCTTATTTGTATTTGTTATACAGTACATTGCAAATTATATCCTTATACTCCATGTGAAATATCATTTAAAAAAACAGAGATGGAAGTAAAACATTGAAGGAGGAGATCAAAAGTACTAACTATTAAAGGGAAAATAATTTCTTTTCACTCCTAGAAAGAAGCTTGGCAGGACCATAAACGGGAATGCAAATGTATTAAAGATATTGACCCTAATTTTCCTCCTGACTCAGTGAGGCTTGTTGGCAGGATTATTTTCAAAATAGTAAGTTAACTTTTTATATATGATTAATTTTTGCAAAATATATCTGCTCCACTTCTGTTAATGTGAAAACAGATTGTGCATTTCAGAGTTCAAGCGATCCTTGAGATGGGGCCTCTTGAAGAAGAAGTTGAGAGAAACCTTCACTCAGTCAGATTGCCCCATGTTTTTACTTTACAAATATCTTTGTACTATAAAATGCCTATAGCAATGAGCTCAAATGAGACTTGATGAATTGATTTTCTAACCTATGCTGGTTACAAGAGAAAATAGGAAAGGAGCCAATTTACTTCTTTGAGTCTTCTTTCCTTGACTTGTATATATTTGACCTGGTTTTTATAAGAACTGTATGATGTTAAGAATTGTTGCTTGGGTTTGCTTGTTTGTGTCTTCTATTGTTTCTCTTGTGTTCATAATTGTCTTTTGGAATTGTACTCTTGAGGAATAGAATTAACATGTATTTTATTACTTTATGAGATCCTCTGGGTGTCTTTTGGGTTGAAAAAACGAAGTAAAATGTGCTGTGCTAAGTGAGTATGTATGTGTGATTGTGTGTGATCGCTGTACAGTAATCAGCAGGAGTAAAGGTATTGTCTCTTCACTTGACTAGCTTTTAAGTTGATGGAAAAAGAAAATTAAGATAACTAGAGGCACACATTTGTATGCGTTAGGCTATACAACTAATAGTTGGATGTGGTATGAAACAATGTGCCTTTGTGTAAAGTCTTTTGAAATTATTTCGACTACATTCTTGGGCATTTGGGCAGAAATTAGAAACAGGACAAACCAGGCAAATAAATGTAATAAATCAATCCACCGTGAGTATGGTATCAACATATACAATTTTTTGACATTAGAGATATGATTTTATAGTTTCAGTTTCTAAATGAAATTCTACAAAAATTGCTTAAAATTAAAAATTGTATTTATGCTGTTGGCTTAAGAGTCAATCAGTTTGATCTTAGGCTGATGCCAAATCCCATGTTTACTTCATTTCTTCAAAATGGTTAATATCTCAGATATTTATGAGAGGTTGGTCTTTTGGCACCAATTTCAAAAGGGAGTCCTTAAGCAGAATTCTTAAATTTCATGTGCACTTTGATGCAGTGGGTGAATTTAAAAAGACTTGTTGCAACTATTCTAGCAGTGAAATAGATAAAAATAATATGTAAAAATGAAGAAAATGGAGAATAAATTAAATGAATAATAAAAAAATGCAGATGGTAGGATATAAAACTCTAATAATGTTTTTCCAATCATAAAATAGCCAGAAATTACTTTATTTCAGATGATTATTGTTTTTTATATTTATGTATATCAGGTTTAAGAGCCAGGGTGGTGCAGGGTGCTGCAGTACTGCAGGCTACTTCTGCTGAGTGCCGGCTGCCAGCAGTTTGGCAGTTCGAGACACTGGCTCAAGATTAACTCAGCCCTCCCTCTTTCTGAGGTTGGTAAAATGAGGAGCCAGATTGTTGGGGGCAATATGCTGACTCTATAAACTGCTTAGAGAAGGTTGTAAAGCACTGTGAAGCAGTATATAAAGTCTTTTAAATTTGTTTTCGGCCAAAATATTTAATAATTTTAATGGACTTTTAATGTTTGTATTATCTGTATTTTATCTTGGCTGTTCACCGCCCTGAGTCCTTCGGGAGTAGGGCGGTATAGAAATTTGATAAATAAATAAATAAGTGCTATTGCTATTATAGCTGTTTTTTTAACACTGAAACAATTATCCAAGGTTATTTTTATTGATTGATGTTTTTAAATTCTTACCAGTTAAAACAATCGGTATGCCCATCTGAAGAGCTGTATTCTCTTTCTGATCTTCAGTCAAGTAAGTATTTTTGTGTATTTTCTCAATTTAAATGGACTCTACTATGTTAAAGGTGTGTGAGGACACACTATTATTTAAATATTTTATGCAAATTGGTTCGCAGCTTCATGCTGAGGATTTCTGTGCTCCCTTGAATCTGATGAAGAAACTACTGTTTGTAGGCAATACATATTGTGATAACAATAATGAAGGTAGAGGGTCTCCCAGTTAAATCAGAACGTGTTAACTGGCTCAGTGCAAATTAAAGGATAATTTTGGAATCTCTCTGCTCCCATACCAGATATTTGATCTTGGAATATTAATGAAAATTTTCTATTCTAAATTATGTATAATGAGATCAAGATATTATTTTATTATATATGTCTTAGCAATTGCATTTATTTTAGAGGTTTTTTAGTATTTATTTTAGTGTGTGGGGTTGTATTTGGACCAAATTCTGAGACTACATTGTTAACCCTTTCAAAAGAAAACCTACAGGTGAATGTCACATTTTCATATTTGGATGAGACTTTTCCCCCCTGCTGAATCTGGGGATATAAATAATCATCAGGGTGCCTACAGATGCAATATTAATAAAAATTATAGATTACATTGAGCTAGAACGGGGTTAGAGTGATTTATGCACTTGTCCCCTGCTTTCTTTCCTGAATTACCAGCATTCATTTGTATGCACAGAGGGTGAATGAAAGGATTCAAAGATTCTTTTGGAATAACATGTAAAAATGTTCTATATGTGTAATCTTTTTTTGTAATGTTTCATTTTTCAAGGATTATTTTTTTAACTCCAGAAAATTAAAAGAATTTATTTACTTGATTTCAGTTCAATTCATTTGCTATTTTTTTCGGTTTCATATGATATTGCAACTGAATTTTTGATCACTTGCTGTACAATTTTTATTGGATGTTTCTTCCCAGGCAATAGTTAATTGTTCCAGTACAGATAATTCTATTCTATACAATACCAGTTTATTATCATTATTGATACTTCAAATTCCTCCAATTTTGGGTGGATATAGAGTTCTATTTTGCAGCACCCCCATGGGTCATATGATCACAATCCAGGTCTTGGCAACTAGACTGCTTTTCTGTCTGTCTCAATGTCCTGTGGGCACCTGATCACTATTTATTACCTTCCCTACCAGTTTTTGGGAAACATGAATAAAATAATTTCTCAGAGACATCCACATGGCTACTTTGGGGACAGACTATTGAGCTAAAATATAAAATGTTTACCAACATGGTTGCTTCTTTGTTTTCACATTTGTGTTTATCTTATTTTTGTTGATTTACTCTCCCCATCCCCCGTTTGCTCTAGGATAATTAATCCTGCTGTTTCTATATCAAAGACAAAATGATAGAAATTGAAAGAATTATTAAATGAATTAAAATAATCATTAATAATGCCAGTCAAATTATTGTAAGATACATTGTAAGAGCCATGGCAGCCCATTGGTTAGAATGCAGTACTGTAGGTTAACTCACTGCTTATTACATAAATTCGATTCTCACTGGCTCAAGGTTGACTCAGCCTTCCATCCTTCCGAGGTCGGTAAAATGAGGACCCAGATTGGGGCAATATGCTGACTCTAAACCACTTAGATAGGGCTGTAAAGCACTGTGAAGCAATATATAAGTTTAAGTGCTGTATCTATCTATCTATCTATCTATCTATCTATCTATCTATCTATCTATGTATCTATCTATCATAAATCATCTGGTGAGAAAACAAATTATCAAGAACACTCGGTTAATAATTAATGGGGGAGTATACTAGATTTCTAATTGCCTAACAGTAATTGTGATTGCAACAAATTTCATAACCTTTCTCTCCAGAAATATCTTCATATTTAGTTATCTGTCAAATAAGTGAATAATCTTCCCCAATCTTCCATATCTGTGGATTAAAAAAGGCATTGATAACTCAGGTTGTTATATCATATAAAAGGAGTATCATATGAAGTTATTTGAAAGTTTCTGAATCTTATATTACCTGGATAAAATTGCAGAGGAACACTGTGAAATTTTCCTTTTAACAGAGAAGCTAGTAACAGGGAAGCTAGTATCCTGGGTGAAATAAAAGTCTCTTCTATGGATTTGGAAAAGGATGTTTGCTATGTATTTAGGATGAGACAGCAGTCTTCCATACATGCTGTTGTGAACAAAGAAGATTTTTTGACTAAACCACACTGAATGTCAGTATTAAGTGTCCATTGTTTAAAATTCAACCCGACATGGATTATATTTTAATCTGTATTTCTCTCTTTTCATTCTATCATCTCATTCTTTATCTTTTTAGCTAATTGTTCATTTTATTAAAGGACAAGTTATTATAAACAATTAATTTGCTATGGATTGACAGCTAGATTTTTTTAAATTACTACTGCCTACAGTCAAATTGCTGTCTCATTCTATTTTTTTTAAAAAAAACACATATACCACTTAGGTATGCAATTTTCCACTTTTAGAGCATACTTCTGATTGAAATAAAATCAAAGTATTGTCATCTTCCTTTGAGAAAAATATTTTGAATGAAATAAAATTACTATTGTTATGGTAAGACACTTAACTGATTTTCTGTTTACTGTCTCTTCGCGCATCTGTTTTGTCCTAAGATTTTGCTTTTTCATTCACATAATATTTGTACAATTTGGCAATATCAACCTAGTGTTGAGAAGTTCTGTCAAAAATAAACTAGGATATCTTGTCTTTTTGGAGTTTGAAATGTTCACACTGCCAAGCTGATTCTAGATTGCTTAAAGATGTTGGCACAAGATAATCCTCACACTTTAATACATTTCCTCTTTTTAAAAGATGTTGATGAATTAAGTGAAGACATGAAAGAAGGTCTCCGGCACCTTGCTAAGACTCTGCAGCTGTATTTGAAGGTGGAAATCCAAGATGTTTCTCAGCTTTTGCCGGCCTTAGATATTTTTCAGATCTTTGCAAAAGTAAGTGTTAAAAGAGATTTCTGAAAACTCTGAAAATATGTAGTCACTATTCATATTTTTTGTGCTTTCATGTTCTTTGAAAGAGCTATTTTAAACCATAATACACTGCCAGATATCGGGTCTGAGTGAACAGTAAATTTATATACCACTTCAGCAATTACAGATTCCCCTCTCAAGGTCAGTTTTTTTCCCCATTAGAAATAATCAGCATATTTTTTTTTTTAAAAGAACTATGACAAATTACACAATGCTAATATTGAAAAACAACACAATGTTTTAAAATTACAAACGTTTATGCTTCTGAAAACATGGCTTATCCATTCCTTTTTGTTTGAAATTGGTATCTCTATTGAAAAAATAATGTATCACAATGTATATGCTTACTCACTCTGATGTATGCCTTGAACTAGACTTATTTGTTACCCAGCATTAGAAATTTAATTATTTTTTTCATCCTGATATAAATGTCAGGGGAGGTTAATAATGTTCTGTTGCATTTATTATCACTTACTATTTGCTTAAGATAACTGAAAGGGTGACTACATGGGACAATTTTGTAATTTCCTAGAACAAAATATTACAGCTATAATCCACTGTAAAGTGACTTTACTTTGTGTTTTACTTTTTACCATTTTCTGCAAATCTAGTGGCTAATTTGCATGGTTTGTGGATCCATCATGATCCACATGAGAGGCTTGTAAATTCAACTGACTCAATTTCAGATTTCTTTTCACTGGTTTGTAACCATCTAATTTCTTCACCTAGTATACTTGCATTTGCAAATGGTTATGTAGTTTTAAATAATTTGTTGATTTTTTCCCCCCGATAATGAATGAATGTGTTTGAGTTTGGCTAAAACATAGTGCTTTATAGGATAAATGTTATCTGCTATTTTAATTATTGCTTTTTGTGGGATAAACATTAATTTTAAAAATTGTTCCAAATCAGTGTCCTTGGTTTTGCTATAAAAATAAATAGGAAAATCTCAGAATAAGAGTATTCTTTAAAAAATAAAATAAAATTAGTGTCTGAATTAAAGCCATTAAATATGCCTTCCTCTGTGACAAATACAATATTACTACACTAATTGTATAGTATGAAGGACATAAAATTGTCATAATCTATAAACTTTATATTTAGTTCTTTGGATAGATTTTGTATATATATATTTTGTATTATTACAATTTTTATTTATTATTTTATTATTTTGTAATAATGAATTTTATATTATTATATATCAGCTTTGAATAATTAATGGTAATTAATTAAGATGTCTATTAATCTCATATGCATGAATCTCTGCAATGAACAGTTAAAATAATATAAAAACATAGTAAAAAGTAACCAAAATAAAAAATAACAAAAATAATGTAAAATAATGTGAACTTTCCTTTAACACAACTATGACCAAGAAATGCGCCCACCATCATTACATCTGATATAGTTATATTTAGAAATATACTGTTATTGTAGTCATTTACTTTGTTGCTAATAATAACTGTCTGCTTGGAAGCTTTAGATTCAATATTATGGTACAATTTCCTACCATTCATTAGCAATTTATTAACTTTTTAATATACGAAAAGAAAATTATTTGCAAATAATCTTCTGTTAGAGAAAGGATTCTGAAATATTTTCGATGGCTTTAAATTATACTGAATGGAAAGCAGATGTGGCCAAAAATATTAGTACCTCCATTTTTCCCCAAAGAATCCCAATTTGTTGAAATAAATTGAAACTGGCCCAAATAATTCTTGGTAGAAAAGTATTGGCTGCGTCTATAAGTTATCACAGAATAAAACAAAACTATTGCAAAAAATAATAATCAGGTGTTCTGTGTTCTTTTCTGTGCATTTCCTAGGCACGGGATACGTATTCTACATTTGAATGCCATTCTTTCATTTATGAACAGTTTTTAGTAATTTGTATAGTAAACCATACAGGTCAGTTACAGGCTATTTGATGTAGGTGCTTCAGGAATGAGAATAAATCTATAGCAAGATGAAAGAGAAAAATAAGCAGCCCTATACAAAGGTTACTAATTCCTGACATATTTTAGAAAAGTATCTATCAAATAGAGATTACAATGAATCTACTTTAACCTCCCCCTTTTCTTTTATCCTTAATAACACTCAGTGTTATTATTATAAATATGCTTAGTTTTGCTGCTATACCAAGAAGGTCATTGGAAGCTTGGAATGAAGCATACAAAAATGAAAGTCACAAAACAGACTTTTATTCATGATAACATGATAATTAATAATACCCTGAAAGAGATACTATCTATCTCCTGTGGAATTTAGTATTGCTGGTTGTTTGTAACAATCAATTATGATTACACAAATTTTTCTTTAAATACATGGTAAGCATCAGAAAAGCTAGTTAGAAAATTCCAAAATAATTTGTTACTGTAAGCATTGAAAAATATCAATAAAATGAAAGTTCAATTAAGGAAAGCTCATTGATTTTTAACTGTAATACGGTTATAATTTCAAAGGAATGGTGCAAAAGAAAGTAAGCATTTTTAAACTAAGAACATTATATAAAGTTCAGTTGAGAGAAACCAATTCATTCCATGCTCACTTCTTAGAATATAGTGGTTCATAAATATATTTTACATTTTAATTTCACTATGGGGATTTAACAAAATTGCTTTGTGTGTACTGTAAGTGTGGTATTACTACTCTTCAAGAATAAAAGTAATTTAAAATAATAAAAGTGAAACACTAGATATTGGTTCTATTTCTCACAGCATGTACCTACATGCAGAAAATCCAGGATCTTTAGCATTTCCTAGTAAAATTGCAAAAGATGTCTGACTGAAATCCTGTCCCCCTGCCATATAGACATATGTACATGCTTACATCTCAAAGGTTCTCAATTTGTTTTTCCATCTTCACTAAACATTTTATCAAGGTAAATTCCTTGATTTTATTTTTTTAGTTTATCACTGGGTAACTTGAAATTGGAAGACTGTCGCGCAGCAGTCCCAAAGTTTTTGACAACAGAGACCAGTTTCATGGAAGACAATTTTTCCATAGACTGAGGAGGATAGTTTTGGTTTTGCTCACTCATCCACCGCACATCTCCAGTTGTGTGGCCCATTTCCTAGCAGGCCTATGGGTTGGGAACCCCGCTGCGGCATATATATAGCTTTTATAATTGTATATAATTTGCATTGGCTATTAGGAGGCAATATATGACCAGATTCATTCTTATTGAAACTTGTTAAATATATATGGCCTGATATTATTCTGTGGGCTTCAGTCATATTCTGAAATTGAACTCATGAATTATTGTGTTTTAATTAGATAAAGCTCATGAATGGTGTAATGTAAGCTTAAAAAGAGGTAGAGTGTATACCATTTTGATAACATCTCTTATCATTTGGAATTGTTCACTCAGCTATCTCTGTCACATATTAACTACCTTTTTCTTGATACATGAATTGGACTATCCATGCTCCTATTTAACATAATAACATTTAAAAAAATTCCTAATTAAACCTGTATCTTCACTTCCATGCATGTATTTATCAACTCCAGAAGATCACTTTCTTCAGGTCAATTTTAGTTTATATTATTATGTGGAAATTAAAATCTTTAATTTAGAGACTACTTTGAATGTCAACATAATGCTGCTCTCATCCCACCCATTCAGAAGTACAGTACATGATGTGTGTTGGCACAGTTAAATTATAAAGCCATAAGTATAAGAAATATGGAGGATGCAGTAATCCCATTATGCTTGTATATGTTTTTTTTTTATAAGATCACTAGGTATGCTTATCTTCAAATGAGAAGTAAATTTTGTTCTGATGTGGGACAGTAACATTAATCTTGGGGCTATTTTTTATTATGTGTATCTAGATCTCCCCACATCCTCCAGTGATTTACAGCTGGAGGTACGGGTGTGCTTGTGTGTGGAAATCAGGATTTTCATGGTGTTGAAATTAACCTTTTTGGTACTATAATTAATCTTAGCTACTGTTATTCATTATAACATATAATACAAACAAATGAATCACTAAGTTGGAATAAATTGCAATTTAATTAAAAGTTCTGAAATTGCACTTTGAAACTTTCATGTACTCAAGACATAGCTGAACTATATGAATCTTCAAGATTATAAAGTAAACTGTCTTCAGAATGCAGAGGAGAATTGATTTATTTGTGCAGCATAAAAGAGGATAGATTGCCTTAGTCATGAAGATAAGAGTTCTTTGTGTATATGAGAAATAAGAAAGTTCTTTGTCTAAATGAGAAATACAAGATCTTTTTTAAACCTTAGAGGCCATCTTTTCATAGCATTCCATGTTGTCTTTGAGACAGAATGACTTTGATCACTTTATATAAGGTTGATCAACATTGACAACTTTAAGACTTGTGGATTCTAACTACCAAAATTCCCCAGCCAGCACCCCAGCCAGGAAGAGTGCTGACACTATTGATTTGCCTGGACATATGTGCTCTGTAGTATATTGTGTAACCCTCAGAAGCTTCTCTTTACCATTCTTCCAAATTCAATGACTATACTATGTACTTCTAGTTTTATATTTAACGATAAGGCTTTCAGGGATTGTGATATTCTTTTAATTTTTAAAAATGTTTTGTAATTCACTTTTATATCATAGATCCCCAACCATGAAAATATGAGCTCAGGTCAGAAGCAGTCTCCCAGTGAAGCCCAATGAAAGGTTCCCCACATCTGGTTTAGTAGCTTCTTAACAGGGGTGAAATGCTCCTGGTTTGGACCAGATCAGGTGATCCGGTAGCGATTGTGGCAGATGGTTCGGAGAACCGCAAGCGATGGGGGCACAAGGCTCCACCCACCCGCCCGGGTGTCATTACTTCCTGCTTTTAAAAGGTAAAAAAAAGGCTCTGAAGATTACGCGCCACAGTGATTGTCGGAGCCTTTTTTTAACCTTTTAAAAGCATTTTTTTACAACCTATTTGTGCGAATAGGTTGTAAAAAAATGCTTTTAAAAGGTTAAAAAAGGC